CCCCAAAACCCCAAAACCCCAAAACCCCAAAACCCCAATGGACAGTTTCATTATTGAGGCTTACTTAAAATATATGTTAAAGGATGAGGCATAACTGCTATTTTAAAATGATCTTTAAACTCTTCTGGGCTATTAATATGTTTTATCAGTCTAGTGAAGCAACCACAAACAGAGTAATAACTATGAAATCTTGAATATCGTTTAGATCAGTGCGGTACCTACAGGTATAAGAATAATATAAAGCTTCATCATTGTTTTCAGATAAATTTTGGTTGTACCTCAAGCATCAGAATTGAGTTTTGTAAATATCTGCGTATTCCTTTCTTACCCAATTTAGAAGAACGCAAAATATCTGCTTCATTCTTACTATTAAAGGTGCCTTTGCCTCAAAAGTTTTGAAATCTGGATTGAATAAATAATACAAACAAATGAGAAGACTTGGAATATTATTTAGGCAGAATAGTTGATTTTATGCTAAACTGTACAAACGAGACCTCTAAAAGTGACGATTTTCTGTTAATATTTAGTATTCATAAATAGGATTAGAAGTTGAACAAAGGGAACTCTTCTGCCAAATTGTATTGTTCATCTTGAAAGAAGGAAAATAACCCAGTAGGGCTATCACTAGGAGCTCTCTTTGGGCTGATTCCAAACTCTGTAGAAAAGTATGTTGAGTCAATTTGGTTTTTGTGTGACAGATTCTGCTCTTTTAACTCCTTTGTATACTCTGAATTTACAAGATCCTCTACAATGCTGTTGTAATCAATAGGAGCTAGGCAACTCTCTAAGCTCAAGTTTAGGTCTCAGTCTTTGGTGTTTAACTGGATATCTACAAAATTGTTAACTCTCTAAAGTTTATTTTTCTGATCAAGTTATACTTTAAATCTTGAAAATTTGAGCAATTCTGATAAAAAAGAAGGCATTCTTACCTTTATGGAAAATAGAGCTGAGTGTTGTAAATGAAACCTTTTTAGATTTACGATCATATCCCCACTTGTACACTTTTCGTTTTGGGAGACCAAGAATATCTCATGCTTTTTCTATAAAAATTGATTATTTCTAACCATAGTTGAAGCACATTTTTACGCTATTTTAAGAGGAATATGAACAGAGTATTGCCAAAGAAGTCAAGAGAAGCAAATAATAAATACGTACTGATTGTTTTCTTTGACCAGGTAGGATCCTCCTGGAACATATTCTCCAGAATATTCACTTGATCTAAGCTGATCTTTTTAATAACCCTCTTCTTTGGGCAGCATGACTTCTTATCCAACTGAAGGAGTTCAGAATTCATGTTTGACTGACTAAAAGCCTCTTGGTTAAAGAAGGCGTTAAGACTTGTGAAGCTATCAGAAATCATATATTTTATTTAATAATTATTGATTGTCTTCCATAATTTCGTTTTATAGTGGGGTTTTGGGGTTTTGGGGTTTTGGGGTTTTGGGATTTTGGGGTTTTGGGG